CCGAGCTTGCAAGAAATATCAATTTACTCAATTTGGCTGCCTGCATGTTATCGGCAGAATTGAGGCAGAGCTGCATCATCAAACACGAAGGAACCACGTTATCTCAACAAGCCTGCAAGTATTCATAGCATTGATATTTTATGCCACGGGCTCCGTGTTTGATTGTGTAGGTGAGGCACATGGATGCAGCATTGCAACCTGCTCATGAGTCATCTGAAAAGTAGCCACTGGTCTTGTGCCGTCTTCCAACGATATCATTCAGTTTCCAACGACCCTAGCAGCTGTGCGAGACATGCAACAAGTTTTCTTTGAGATGTCGGCTTCCCTCAACTAGTAGGTGTGGTATGGCACTGACATGGGTCTCCATGAATGCAAACTTGGGAACAATTAACCCATCTATGTAAACAGGAAGGGCAGACACACCATCAATGACCATCAATGATTACCAATCGCGTAGCGAGATGACCCTGGCAGTACACACGACAGCAGCATTTCCCAAGCAAGCTGCATTGGTCAGCTGTTTCAGCGAGGAGAGCTACTGCACAGGGCGTTCTGCTGGGAGACTCTGGCTATGCACTCCAGCCATGGTTGATGACCCAATCCTCAATCCAGCTACCCAGACAGAGAGAGCTTATAACATGTAGGCCCTAGGCCTAATTTCGATGTGGCAAACAGGCTAGTTTGTTAGGAATTTCAAACCTTACATTCACATTAAACCCGATTGCGATACGACATATTCCCCCCTCCTCCGTACACGTTTTTTGGGGAAAAAGGATCAAATGTGACCTTCAAGTATTTTTCTAAATTCTTTTGCAGCCTAGTGTATTCAAAATCAATTTGAAACTAACAGTGCACAATAAGTACTGATTTGCATGTATACATGAACGAAAAGCTGTATCATGAACAGTGCCCCCCCTAGTGTAAAAATTTTCCACAGCGGGGCAAAATTTGGTCATCTCCCCCCGACACATACACACACCAACATTTTGTTTATGGTCACAGTGAGGTTTACGCCACTGTGTCACGTGTAAAACTTGACAAGTAATACAAGAAATGGCATATATTTTTCAGTTGAATTGTTCCTAAATTTTGTTTTAATTGCAGGGCCGAATGCAAACACTTGAGTGGTGATTGAGCAGGTCAACGGGCAGCTGAAAAACAAATTTTGTTGTCTACTGGGTCACGGCATGCAAATCGTGCCAAACAGGGCAGGTGACATCGTCGTCGCCTAATGTGTGCTATTCAAATCAGCAAGCTGTTGAGGGAGCCTCATCTTGACCCTGAGAATGACCAAGATGCTGAGGATGACGAAGACATAGATGATGATGATGGGAATGCTACTGGGGCTGCAGCAAGGGCAGGGACAATCCACAATTTTTTTAAATAAAGTTTTAAACGTTAGGGACTATGAACCTCCAGAACAGGTGCACATTAGCGGCTAGACCAAGATACGTTTCAAGTTCAAATTCATTAATATATTGAATTTCACAGCACTGGATCTTATATAATACACAGGAAGAGATTTAGCAATATGCTGACAACAAAATTTGTCTAACACAAAGAATTATATTATTGTAATGCTAGAAACTTACTCAGCTCAGTGACGTACATGTATTTAGAAGTAAAAGAACCCTTGAACATGCTTATTGAACATTTGAGATAATTTAATCTATTTAATTAACTTCATCTAGTTTAATACCGGTTATTTAATTTAGAGTTTAATGCAATCATTTCTTCATCTCATGAACAAAACCGTAATTTCTTTTACATCTTTCAAATAAAGATTTTTCATATTTCTCTTTGTTTACAGAATGAACAAAGTTTCCTCTTGTTAGATTCAAGAGTATGTCTTTTTGGCTTTTATATTACAACAAACACCCATAATCATGAGAAAAACGTAATAATATTTTAGAAAGAATACTCTGTGTTAGCTATTTCTGATTTTTGGATACTTTCTGCCGAAAAAGATACTCCTATGCATACGTCTCACATACTCAACATCACCCGAGAAAAAGTCATTGCATGGTCCCTTTAATACTTACAGTTGGTATACACGGTTTTAAACAAATTCTGATTTCTTTTCTGAACAAATTGGAAGGAATAATTTATAATACCCTGTAAGACATAACTTGGCTTTTTTGCATTTGCAGGCCTTCACATGGTCATAAAAGTGGTTTTACATGTATACAGCATGCTCCAGTTCAGACAGATTTGAAATATCATTGGCCCATTTTTTGTGCGCAATATCTCATTGGAAAGCTTATAACTAGTACAATGCTAGAAAAATCATCAAATCAATTTACAAATCTATTTTGAAGGAGCCATATACCCAAAAAGCAGGCAAACACAAGCTTTAACTATTGCAGCATTCAAAACCGCTGAAGCTGCCTAAACCTCCTTACTGCAAAGAATTCAACACTGTTGAAGTTGTAAGAGACTGCAAACATCCTACTTTCCTCTTTTCAAATCTAAAGTTTTCCCCACAAGGACAACCTTCTCAATCTCAAATTAACAAATCCTTTTCAATCTCACCGCTTGGTGATTGTGGCTTTTGCTTCTTCGAGGGGCCGTTGTAAAGGAAAGTTTTACTATTGCTGTTGCTGTTACTGTTGCTGTCGTTGCTGCTGTTATTGTTGCTTTTACTATTGATGTTGCTGCTGTTATTGTTGCTGTTACTGTTGCCATTCCTGCTGCTGCTATTGTTGCTTTTACTACTGATGCTGTTGCTGCTGCCGTTGTTGTTTTACTATTGATGCTGTTGCTGCTGCCGGTGTTATTGCTTTTACCACTGATGCTGTTGCTGCTGCCGTTGCTTTTACTACTGATGCTGTTACTGCTGCAGTTGTCGTTGCTTTTACTACTGATGCTGTTGCTGCTGCTATTGTTGTTGCTTTTACTACTGATGCTGTTGCTGCTGCTGCTGTTGTTGCTTTTACTACTGATGCTGTTGCTGCTGCTGTTGTCGTTGCTTTTACTACTGATGCTGTTGTTGCTTTTACTATTGATGCTGTTGCTGCTGCTGCTGTTGTTGCTTTTACTATTGATGCTGTTGCTGCTGCTAGTGTTGCTTTTACTGTTGGGAATGAACTCAAGTGTGGCTTGTGATTCTTGTAATTCAGAATTCTGGAATAATAAAAACAAGCACATTAAAGGGGTCATGACCCTGAGATGACATTTGTTAAATATTTTATAGAAAGATCCAGGTAATGATTGGTCATTTAAAACATTATGTTAAATGTTTAAGATAAAAATTAGAAACAAGAATATTCTTGTGTACTTTCAAATCCATATTTTGCGTTAAGTATTTACAGTGCAAGTTTTTTCGAACTTGAATATTTACCTGTTTCCTTTGCGAGGACAAATATGAGTTTGACAGTCCACCCACACTATATAAGTTTCATGCACATTAACACTAGATTT